GACTGCCTGTGTTAGAGTCTCTCTAGGCACTTCCCTCACAGGTCTGGCAAAAGAGTTGAAGGAGAGGATGCCGGCCTGGGCCAAAATGAAGAAGGAGAGTAAAGAACAACTTGTGTTGGTAGATTTAGAAGTTCTTAGAAACAGAGTAGGGACCCTTATAGACACAGGGGCTACCCGTAGCTATATTAGCCGCAGGGCGTTGAAGAAGCTAAGGCTGGTTTGAAAGTCCAGAAGTTGGAAGACCCCATAGTTAGTATGTAGCGGACCTCTGGTTGGCCTGTGAGACCAGCCCCTTGGCCTGTTCTCACAGGCCTGTGTTGTATTCGGGGTAGTCCAGTTCAAGCCGGTACCTCTGTTGGTACCAGCCAGTCCAGTCCAGTCTCGTCAGTCCACTGGGGTATACCCCAGCTGTTGTCTGTTTTTTAGATCATTCTACATTCACACATCTTGTAATACGTGCGTTGGAGTCTCACGTGGGAGGTGCGCTGTGCCATCTCACTCCCCCTTCATCCTCCATCTCCATCTCTCTCCCAGGCGGAGCACCACACCTGGTGGGTCCGCCACACGGGTATCGGAGCGGGAACGTTCCCTGCTCCCACCCACCACACCGCACAGCAGGGAAAACGACCAAAATCCAACAGAGTTTTTTTCGGCTGTTTTTTGGGCGTTTGCAGCGAAAAACTGGCGAAAAGCGCAGCGGCCAGGAAGTGACGCGTGGCGAAAAAGGAGCTGCCATCACGACGCGTGCGTGTTAGCGCCAAGACCAAGGCCGCCGCTCACTCATGCACCACGTGCCCACGCTGCCCCGCTCCCGAATTTATTTATCAAGATCCGGGATGCACGCTGCTGCCAGGGTTTGAACCTGGGCAGGTGTTGGCTATGAGCGTGCGTAGCCATCCCCATAACACACTCGCCAAAATGCATGTATGCTTTGGTAAGGCGGCATGCTGGTGTTGAAGATGTGCCGTGGCAGCTATCTACACCCCCCACCGGGCAGGAAACTTTTTGCCCCCCCCCCCCCCCCCCCGACGAGGGGGAGACACCGTGGCTGCTGCTGCGTGTGGCCGTGACCATCTGCAGTGCCACGTGGCAGTCCACTGTGGACCGTGAAAACCCGCTGATCAGAGGCTGCTCTACAGTGGTGAGGGTTTGCTCACACAGCACACCCTGGATCTGCAGTGCTGCTGCTAGGGGCTGATCAAGATCTCAGCCCCCTCCCTCCTCCAGTTGGCTTGCTGCAGTGAAGGCCAAGACCCTCCTGGTCTTGGTATACCTTGTACACTTGGAGACACCAAGAGCCAGGTATCATTCCTCTCTCTTCCCTCTCCCTACTAACCCACTTTCTCTACCTTTTCTCTCTCCTCTTACTCACCCCCTCTACTTCTTCCTCTTCTGCCTCGCTCACTTCCTTCTAATCACTCTCACCACCCATACCCCCCTCCCCACCCCACCTTTTCTCCCACCACCCACTTTTTTACTCTACTTCATTCATTTATTTTCTTTTCTTTCTCCTTTTTTCTCTTTGCTTCTAGATCCCTCCCCACCTTTCCCTTCCCTTTCTCTCCCATTCTCTCACCCTTCTCTCCCCCTTCACTCTTTTTTTTTCTCTCACTTATTTCTCCCCTTTCTCCTTCACTTTTTCATTCCCCTTCCCCCCAACTTCGAAATTTTCTGTTTTCTTCTTTTTATCTTTCTTTTGATTTATATTTCCTCCTTTTTCCAAAAACTCGAATTATCTTATTCCCCATCCTCTTTTCTCATTTTCTAATTTATTTTATTTTATTCTTATTTTATTATAAAAATTTCGAATTTTTTTGCGGCACCCTTAAATCTGATTAGGAGTTAGTTATTCTTGCTTTCGGCACACATTCCGACCCTGTAGGGGTAACGAAGTGCTGCCGAAATTTTCTGTTTCTATTTCACTTAGTCTTTTTAGCACGTTTTGACCCCTTGGGGGTAGCGAAGTGTTGGCAAAATCTTCTCATTTACTTAGCCTTTCTTCTTGACAGCACACTTCGACTACATGGGCGTAACGAAATGCTGCCGAAATTTTTAAAAAATCAGACACTTCATTTCTCTCCACCTCCTCATCTACTTATTTACTTATTTATTTATTTATTTATCTTTTTCTTATTTCTTTATTTTTTTTATGAATTTTTTAATTTTCGGCACTTTGAAACTTAGTGTGCTTATCTTGGTCTCTCCTTTCCCTTGGCACATTCTTGACCCCATGGGGAGTACGGAAATGCTGTCAAAATTTTCCAAAAAAATAAATATTGTTTCTCTTTTCACATTGTGCTTACTTATTTCTTTACTTATTTTTATTATTTATTTATTTATTTATTTATTTATTTTCAATTTTTTCTCAAAATTTCACTGTTTATTTATTTTTCCCCCCGCCTCCCCCCATGCTTGCTATTTTATTTTCTTGATTAGGTCACTGGTACCCTACCCTAATCACTCAAACCCCGGTTAGGGTTTTCTTAGGGTTTTCTTAGGGTTTAGGGTTTTCCTAAACCCCCCCTACTCCCCCTTTCCATTCAAACACCTTGGATCCGAACCAACCCTCCCCTTTTGACGGCGCCCACGCTCGATTTACAAGCGTCGCCCGTTGCCTTTTATCGCAGACCTCCCCCTACGCCCTTCGCTCATGCGGACCTCCCCCGGCCCTCTCTAGTCCATCCCATTACCTCCTCATGACCGATGACGTGTCCTAAGCCGCCGAGGCGGTGACGCCCTCGGCATCGGGCTCCACACCTGTGCCGACGGACCAGAGCTATCAGCCCCAGGGGGATGTGCACACCCTCATCACCTCCCTCCTTGCGCCCTTACAGGCGAAGGTGGCGACTCTTGCCGCTGGCCTGCGGCAACTCCAGGACGCTGTTCGTCCTTCCTTTCCTCACTCTCTTTCTTCTTCTGGCTCACAGTCCGAGTTCCCCGTCATCCAACATGGTGGCCATGACGGAGCTTCCTCCTCTGCCGCCCCCGACCCGACCATCTTGGTGACCATCCATGCTCCTAGCGCGACGGCCGCCACGGGCCCGGCCCTCCCTCACTCTACGGCCACACCTGTCCAGATTCCGATCACTACGGCAACGGGACCACAACCCGCTGCCGTGGTCTCAACTTTTCCGGGTGCCCCGCTTCTCCCTCCCCTTCGCACGACCGCAGCACCACCTGGCTCTCCCCCCTGTGGGATGCCCCACGCAACTCGTGCGTCCACTTCCCTCACTCTTCCTCCCGCCACTCCTTGCTCGATCTACGTTCGACGTCTCGAGGACGAGCTTGCCCAGACCCGGGCCGACCTCGCCCTCTTACACCTTCAACCACCCCTACCCTCACAGGTGGCCGTGCCTTGGGGTGCACCCCCTTCTTCTTCTACTCTTCCTTCCATGCAGGCTCGCTTCCCTCGCCCTGCACCCTATCCAGCCCCATCCTACCTTCTTCCTATTCCCTCGGTTGCTGCGACCTCTTCTACCGGAACTCTCTCGCAGCCTGCCGCTGTTTCCCCCGCCGCTCCCCCTTGCGGCTCGGGCGTACAGTCAGCTGCGCCCCTTTCTCCAGGACCTGCACCGACTTACTCAGCCGTAGCACCGGCCTCTTCTCCTCGATCCCCTCGCCGCCAAAACGGTGGCGCGCCACTCGTCCGCTTGACGAACATTGCCTTGTCCGACGGTACAGGGATACGCGTGTCTCTCTGGCTGCAGTCCGCTACCCGCACGCTCCAGCTCATGGGCGGCCCACCTAACACGTGGGTGACTTACCTCTCCACGCGCCTGCGTGGCGGTCCTTTCGACGCTTGGGAGGATTTCTACACGCACTTCCTTCGTGAGGGTCGGACCCCAAGTTTCATGGATTTTCAGGCGTTCCTCGAGGATCGTTTCGGAGCCTGACATGACGTCACTGATGGCTTCGAGCGTGTCGGTGGCACACACTGGTCCAACTCTGGTGGCGCCGCCGGCCTGGACCACCACATCCAGGTCTTTTAGGACGCCCGCCTCATTTGTGATGTGGCATTCCTCCCGGAGGCTGCCCTTATCGACTATTTCTTGGCCAGCCTTTCCCTTGAGTACCGCTCCGAGTTATGGCGGTACGAGTTTACATCGACCCCACAGGCCTATGAGGCCGCCAGGACCCATCAGCGGATGCGGGCCCGTCTTCACCCCGCTTCCTCCTCCCAACCTCAGCGTACTGGCTACGCCCCCTCCTCCTCTCACGACACTTCCCAGCACTGCTCCCCTTCCCACGGCCGCCCTCACCGTTCAGCGCAGCAGGGCCGCCACTTCTCGCGCCTCTTTCGTGTGCTCGAGTATGGTGAGAAGGACGTTGTTGCCCCGTTGTCGCCTGAGGGCAACCATAGCGACGACCTCGACCTCGGCGAGGCCATCCACTACCACCTGGAGGACTCTACTCTCCCTATGGTCGAGCGCCTCCAGCTCATCCTCTCCACCCTCTCCCGGGCACCCAGCCGCTATGGTCACACTGGCGCGTCGCCCCCAGGACCTCCCTCAGGGCTTTGTCCCTCCTCGCGGTGTCCTTTCCGTTGAGGAGCGCGCAACTATTTTAGGCCGGCGTGGATGTTTGCGTTGCCGCCAGGACGGTCATACCTCCTCGCGGTGCCCTTACACCGCCGCCCTCGATCGCCACTACGCTAACCTTTCCCGCCAGCGTCGTGCTCAGTCCCCCCCCGACGCCTTGCACCCCCGAGGCGCCTCCTAGCCACGGTGCTGTGTACACCTACGCCCTCCTCCATAAATGGTTTCCCGACATCTCCGTCGCGGTTCGCCCCTCTCGCTACTGGAGCTGAGGTATCGCAGGACCCGACAGAGTGTACTTAGCCCTCTGTCGCCGTACCGTCTACGCCTCCGCAAACCACCGTCTTCCCTCCTACCCCTCCGTAACTACTGACGCGTCGAGCCATTCGCTCAGCCCGTTGCAGTTAGCAGCTTGCGATTCGCGAGGATGTTGTGTCCTCTCTTCTGGACTTGAGCATGCTCCAGGCTCGTCAAAAGCGACTCACCCTCCACGTCGGTGCACTGCGTTGCCTTCTCACCATCCTCTCTGACCCTGATTGCACCCTCCCGATCATTCCAGTACGACTGGGGACCTCCACGAGGGTGTACTCAACGTTGTGGGATTCCGGTTCTCAAGGCGACTTCATTCACCCACGTGTGGTGAAAGAAGCCCTCTTACCCATGACAGGGTCTCCGACTCCCATCTTCGTCACCCTAGGGGATGAAAAGACTCAGCGCTTCGTCGATCAGACAGTCACCGACCTCCCTTTCTTCCTCACTCTCGAGCCGACTGATCGTCCCCCAGCGTCTCGTCGTCACCGCTCCTCTGCACATTTCGATGTGATGGAGACGGGGTACGATTTCATTCTCGTCACTCCATGGTCTCGTCAGTTCCGCAGCAGTGAGGCCGATTGGGCGACCAACACTCTCGTTCTCAAAACGAAGTGTGGGCAGACGTATCGCGTACCTTTCATAGGTACTACCGCGACACCACGCCCCGACCCTCCTCCCCCGTAGCCTTCCGTGCCCACACCATCTCCTACGATCACCGTCACCGCGCCTCGGCAGTTCGGTCGCTTCGCCCGACAGGACGACGTCACCCGCTTTACGGTGACCGTTGCGGATCTCTTGCACTATGATCCACCCAGTCCCGACGCCGAGCTCATGTCTCTGGAGCCAGATCCTCCTTCTATCTCTATGGCACCCATCTCTACTTCCGTCCCTCCGCCGTCCGTCGAGTCCACCCCGTCGTCGCGCGCTGACACTGACGTTGAGGAACTCGCACGCTATACGGCCGACCTGGACCCCGCAGTTCGTGACCTCATTCGAGAGTACCACGACGTTTTCCCATCGTCGTTCTCGTACGCCTGCATCCCACCGATGCGCGCTATTGAGCATTCCATCCAACTCGTCCCTGACTGTCGTGTTGACCACCAGGCACCCTACAGACTCTCGATCCCGGAGGCCACCGAACTCAAGCGTCAGCTTGAGGAGCTCCTGAAACTGGGTTTCATTAAGACCAGCAACCCCCCGTGGGATGCACCCGTCCTCTTTGCTCGCAAAGCGAATGGAACTCTCCGTCTCTGCATCGACTATCGCGGCCTCGACCGCTACACGGTTAAGAACAACTAACCCATGCCTCGTTCCGACGAGTTGTTCGACTGCCTAGCAGGCAACCGCTTCTTTACGAAGATTGATCTTCATAGTGGTTACCATCAGACACGGCATTCGTCCTTACGAAGACAGCGTTCCGATCGCGCTTCGGCCACTATGAGTTTACGGTGATGCCATTCGGCCTCACCAACGCACCCGCTACCGTCTAGAGGGCGATGAACGACATCTTCAAGGACATCCTAGAGCAGTACGTTTTCGTCTACCTCGACGATATCCTAATCTACAGTCGTACCCTTGAGGAGCATCTCAGACACCTCCGCGATGTCCTTGACCGCTTGCGCAGACATGAGTTCGACGCCGAGCTGAGCAAATGCCGCTTTGCCCAACACAAAGTGAATTTATTAGGACATTACGTGTCTGACCAGGGTCTCCACTTGGACGACGCGAAGATCACTGCTATTGCGGAGTGACCCGTCCCCACATCCACCAAGTAGCTTCGCAGCTTCCTAGGCCTCACTAGTTACTGTAGTAATTTCATCCAGGGATGCACTAGGTATTCCTACGTCTTTACCTCCACCCTCCTCCGGAAGAACCCGCCATGGGTTTGGACACCCCTCCATGAGGACGCCTTCCCCGCCCTTAAGAAGGCGGTGACATGTGCACTGGTTCTTCACCTACCCGATTTTGATCGCCGTTTTATCCTTACCACCGATGCGTCAAACTTTGTTGTAGGAGCAGTGCTTTCTCATATTTTTTCCTCCTCTCATGATTCCTCTCATCCTCGTATCCCTCGTATCCCTCGCTTCCCACCCCCTACCCTTACCACTGCTTTCCGCCTGACGCCTACTCGTCCAACTACTGACGAGCCTTCTATTGACTATTCTCCTACCATCGCCGATGATAGCACTATCGAGTCTCACTCAGGTGATTGTCCGATAGCCTTCTACTCCCGTCAACTTCTGCCTGCCGAGATAAACTACACCGATGATGAACGTGAGGTTCTCGCAGTAGTTTATGCCGCTCGACACTAGCATCACTACCTGCAAGGAGCACCATTCATGGTGCGCACGGACAACTCTGTTGTCCAAGCTTTTTTTGACAAAGCGGAAGTTCACTCCTCGACAGGCTCGCTGGTAGCGCGACCTATCCGAGTTTAGTTTCACCACTGAGCACATCAAGGGTGAGACTAATCGGGCGCAAATGCCTTATCCCGGTGCCCTGACCATGATCAGGAGCAGATCCAACTCGCTGCCATCTCGGTCACCGCCGTCCACCACTCGGTGATCAACGAGTTTCGCACTCAGTACCGCCACTGCCCCGGCTATCGCGACATCCATGCGACCCTTTAGAGTGGCAAGACCGTCCCGAACTACTCTCTCGGGRACAACGGTCTTGTGTACTGTCACGGTTCATAGGGCACCAGAGAGCCCCGTATTTGCATTCCCTCCACTGGTCGGCTACGTGTCCGGGTAGTAGCAGAGTTCCATGACCAGACAGCGGCCGGTCTTATGGGCTTCCACAAGACGTTGGCTAGTGTGAGCCGCCTATACGTCTGGCCGAAGCGCAAGGACTTTGTGAAGGACTACGTCGCAGAATGTCCCACTTGTCAGGAGGTGAACAGCGCGAACCACCTGTCTTATGGTTTGCTACAACCTCTTCCTACTCCTGAGGGTCGTTGGCAGTCCATCTCGATGGACTTTATTGGTCCTCTTCGTCCTCCGACCCCCCGCGGTCATGATGTTATACTGGTCGTCGTCGACCGCTTCACGAAGCGTGCACGCTTTGTTCCGTGCCGCTATGCCATCAGTGCACGTGAGGTCGCTGACATCGTGTTTGACTGAGTCGTGCGTGACCACGACTTACCTTTGAGCATCATATCTGACCGTGACCCGCACTTTACCAGCCGATTTTGGTGACGGCTCCACGAGGTTTAGAGCACCCAGCTCCGCTTCTCCTCGTCTTACTATCCCCAGACTAATGGTCAGATCGAGGTCACAAACAGGACTCTCCGAGATATTCTCCGAAAGATTGTTTGTGGCGACCAGCAATGGGATCTCCATCTTGCCCACGCAGAGATAGCCTACAACCACGCCGTCTCGCCAGCCACGGGGATGTCGCCTTACTATTGCGACTTCGGCTATCACCCTCGTGTTCCCGCAGACTTCCTTCAACCGTCACAAATGCACCCTGACACGAGTTGTCCCGCGCTGGATGATTGGGTTGCACACATGATGTCAATCATGAAGATCGCGCATGAGCACATAGCCGCTTCCCAGAATCGCATGGCAGCACGTGCCAACCGATCGAGGATGGATCATCCATTCAAAGTCGGTGATGATGTGCTTATCGACGCCCGCCACTTACAGCTTGAAGCGGACACGCTTCGCAAGTTTCGGCGTCGCTTCTTTGGCCCATGCCGCGTCTCGTTACTGCGGCCCTGCCGCAGACCGTCTGAGCGTTTCGCCGGACGATCATACGAGCGCCCTTCACCCATCATGGTGGACGACCACGAGGAGTTCCTCGTTTCAGACATCATTGGTCGCCGAGTCACCGACGACAACCCTCCTCACGTCGAGTATCTCGTACGTTGGAAGGGTTACCCTGATGAGGCTACTTGGGAGCCCCTCGAGCACTTGCAGCATGCTCGCATGTTGGTGCGTGCCTATGACCATGCTCGTCGTGCTGGGTTGACTGCTCCTCCTCAGCCCACTGACCCTCCTCCTTCTCCCTCGGCTGAGGAGACCGCTGAAGTCGAGCCGGCTCAATGTGAGGTAGACCTTCAGCAGCAGCCGGATGCTTCTGAGCGTCCACAACACACTCGTTGTCGTCCTGCTCGATACGACGATTGATTCTTACCTATCTTCCCACGTCTTTGACTTCTCAACACTCCATCCACTCCAGGTTTGCTACTTCAGCTCGTCGACGTTGCGGCTTTTCCTCAACGACATTCCGGACTTCTCATCATGGACGTCATCGGCAGCTTCATGGACTTCGTCACAATCAACTCTGCCTACTTCAGATGTCGTCGGTCTCTTACCACCTTACCCTGTACAATACCCTGGTTGTGTTGCATGATGGTCTCCCTTCGCCGGGTTCCTCTGAGTTGGGATCTCCCTTGGTAGACACATAGGCATCGGGACCGTAGCGTTGCCTTGGCTTCCCAGCTTACGGATCCAGCTCCGACTTCCCCCACCTTAGGAGTCATTTGCATGATTCCCTTACCCATCACTTTTTTCTACCCTCTGTCGACCCTCACACCCTAGTTAGGTAGCCTCGCATGCTTCATCTAGGTGCGCCCAGTATACCAGGCTCCCTTGTTCCCTTGCATGGTCGACCCTCCATAGCGGTCACCCCTTTAGTCGAGCATTATCCGCCCTGATGGTCTATCTGTTAGGATCATTGGTTTTGTTCGCTCCCAGTTCCCTACCCTCATTGAGCCTGATGACATGTGTCTCCCTGTCATTTATGTGTGGATGCCCTTAGGAGTTTATCGACCCCTAGGCTGCATTCGCCACCCTCAAAGACCATCCCACCCTTTGGTTGCGACACACTCCTCCTGTGACATATGGTTGTCTTGTTGTTGCTTTGTTGCTCTCAGACTGCGGTTACTGCCTCTGACATTTCGAGGATTTAGTTGTTCTGCTTTTGCTGTTCTTAGGACTCATACACTAGTCAACTATTTCCAGACTGAGGCTACTGCCTCCAACATTCTAGGATCTAGTTATCATTACTTTCTGCTTTCCTAGGACATGTATGCTAGTTAGTTGCTTCTGCTTTCACTTAGGCTGTTAGCTGTGACATTGTTGTTTTTGTGACATTTTCTATCCTAGGTTGCATCACATGGACTCAGCATGGAGCTTGCTCCGCATCCTAGACTACTAAGGTTTTCTTTTTCTTTGGTAGAGTTCCGCTTCTTGGCGGAAGCGTACTTGTATATAGGCGATCCATCACAGGCCGAGGATCGTGTAGCGGACCTGTGGTTGGCCTGTGAGACCAGCCCCTTGGCCTGTTCTCACGGGCCTGTGTTGTATTCGGGGTAGTCCAGTCATGGATGGTACCAGCCAGTCCAGTGCAGTCCCGTCAGTCTGTTGGGGTATACCTCAACTGTTGTCTGTTTTTCAGATCATTCTACATTCACACATCTTGGAGTACGTGCGTTGGAGTCTCGTGTGAGAGGTGCGCTGTGCCATCTCGCTCCCCTTTCATCCTCCATCTCCATCTCCATCCCAGGCGGAGCACCACACCTGGTGGGTCCGCCACATAGTATCCTCGCAGACAACCGCACGATGCGTGTTGAGGATTACGTCGAGGGAGTCCATGCGTATCTTCGCCTAGAGAAGGATGGCAAAGTAGAGAAAGTACTCCATTCCCCGACTCTCCTCGTCGAGGACAACCTCCCTTTCGACATAGTTCTAGGTATGGACTGGGGAGAGGTAGCAGGGGCCACACTCCATTTGAGAGAGCATGAGTGTAGGCTCCCTAGTCCATCACGCGAGGTCAAGACTGCACGTCTGTTCCATGTGTCAGGGCCTACGCGAGGCCTGTCACTGAGCCTACTGAAGAGAAGCCAATAGACCCAGCTATTGCCAAGCTGCTGGAAGAGTTCAAAGATTTAGCAAGGCCGCCAACAGGAGTAGTACCACGGCCAATCGAGGACCGCATTGAGATAGAGCCCGACAGTAGAACTCGTAAGGGTGCAATTTACAGGATGTCCCCAAGGGAGTTAGAGGAGTTGCGTAAGCAGTTAGACGAACTCCTCGAAAAGGGTTGGATTAGGCCCAGTTCGTCTCCTTTCGGAGCACCCGTGTTATTTGTCCCCAAAAAGGAGGGAGAGTTGTGCATGTGCATCGATTATAGGCGTCTGAATGCCATTACAGTAAAGAATGCCGAGCCGCTGCCCAGGATAGACGATCTCTTAGATCGGGTGCAGGGCTGTAGGTATTTCTCAAAGATAGATTTGAAGTCCGGATATCATCAGATAGAAGTTCATCCTGATGACCAGCATAAGACATCTTTCCGGACTAGATATGGGCATTATGAGTTCATCATGATGCCCTTTGGACTGACCAATGTGCCAGCCACATTTCAACGTTGTATGAATGTTGTATTTAGGCCTTGGTTAGATAGGTTTGTTGTACTCTACCTAGATGATATACTAGTTTTCAGTAAGACCCTCCAAGAGCGTCAGGGTCATTTGAGGCAGGTCTTGGAGAAGTTGAGAGAGACTAACTTCAAGATCAATGCCAAAAAGTGCGAGTGGGCCAAGACACAAGTCTTGTACTTGGGCCACGTATTAAACGGAGATGGCATTAAGCCTGAGGATAGCAAGATAGCGGCGATTAGAGACTGGCCGACATGCCGCACGATGACAGAACTGCGGTCGTTCCTAGGCTTAGCTAATTATTATAGGAAGTTTGTGAGGAACTTTTCCACCATTGCCGCTCCCCTTCGCAGGTTGCTAAAAAAGGATGCGATCTGGAAGTGGGACAAAGATTGTACATCCGCTCTTAAGAAGCTAAAACGAGCGTTGATAGAGTACCCTGTCCTCAAGGTGGCATCCGTCCTTGCCATTTGTCGTCACCACGGACGCAAGTCAGTATGGTATAGGCATCGTGTTGCAGCAGGACGGCGACAATGGCTATAGACCCGTAGAGTTCATGTCAGCGAGGATGCCATCAGAAAAAGTGGCTACCTGGACTTACGAGAGAGAACTCTACGCTCTCAGGCAGGCCTTAGAACACTGGAAGCATTACCTGCTTGGGAGGCACTTCAAAGTTTATTCAGACCACGAGACTCTTAGGTGGCTGGAAATGCAGGCTATGACACCTAAGCTAACTAGGTGGGGCACTGAGATAGACCAATATGACTTTGAGCTCAAACCGGTCAAAGGCAAGTATAACGTAGTTGCGGATGCTCTAAGTAGGAAATCGGATTACTTTCGAGCTATAGTTCACTATCTGGATATAGGGAGAGACCTGCAGGAGAAAGTAAGTCAGGTGTATGTGCAGGACCCTATTTATAGTGACCTCCTCAAGAAAGTCAAGGAGGTCCCAGAGACTGAACCAGATTACCGCACTACAGAGGGACTACTGTTCGAGAAGACCAACGTAGTAGACCGTCTGTGCGTTCACTATCTGTGCGTTCATTATAGCCACGACACAGAGGGACATTTCAGTTGGCAAAAGTCTCTAGCCAATCTGATGCAAGCGTATACTTGGCCAGAAATAAAAGCCGACTGCGTAGAGTATGTTCGCAATTGCAAAGTCTGTCAGAGGAATAAGACAACTACACGTGCCCCTCTAGGTCTTCTTCGGAGAGAAGGTTAACAACAGTCTTATTTTTCATCACCACTTTAGAACACCCTTCACCACTTCAGGATGCAGCCTACCTAGACAGGTGGTTTTCAGGGTCTTCGGACCTTTCACCACTTCAGGACCATTTAGGTATGAAAATCCTGAATGGTCCTGAAGTGGTGAAAGCTCCGAAGACCCTGAAAACCACTTGTTAAGCAGGCTGCATCCTCAAGTGGTGAAGGGTGGTGTTCATGGTCTTCGGACCTTTCACCACTTCAAGACCATTCAGGATTTTCAGACTGCCCAAAACTCTCACTTGACCACTTCAGGACACCCTTTACCACTTCAGGATGCAGCCTTCCTAAACAGGTGGTTTTCAGGGTCTTCGGACCTTTCACCACTTCAAGACCATTCAGGWTTTTCAGACTGCCCAAAACTCTCACTTGACMACTTCAGGACACCCTTTACCACTTCAGGATGCAGCCTTCCTAAACAGGTGGTTTTCAGGGTCTTCGGACCTTTCACCACTTCAAGACCATTCAGGTTTTTCAGACTGCCCAAAACTCTCACTTCAGAATTTTCATTCCTGAATTTTCAACTACCTGATAACCGCTTGTGCTTCTTCGACCCTTACCTATACCTAATCAGCTTGGCGATTCAGTATCCATTGATTTCATGGATGCCAGCGTCAAAAGTAGGCATGGCAAGAGCCAAGTCATGGTAATAGTGGATAAATTTAGCAAGTATGTTGTTTTTGTTCCCTTACCCGTAGAAGCCCATACAAAGTTAGCAATTCATAAGTTTTTTGACTTTTGGTTTAGTGATCACGGGATCCCATTGTCCATAGTTAGTGATAGGGACACCCAGTTTACAAGTCAGAACTGTTTACAAGTCAGAACTGGCAGGAGTTAATGAGAGTATACGGCTCAAATTTGTTGATGTCGTCTGGCCGTTACGCAGAGACTAACGGTCAGACCGAGCAGATGAATAAGATCCTGCAACAAGTTCTGCGTATGTACATTAGACCAGATCAAGTCAATTGGGACGAGATGTTGCCCAAGGTAGCCAGCGCATATAACAACAACGTGCACCTATCCACTTGCCGTACTCCCAATGAGCTGCATAAGTCCTTTAGACCACGTAGACCGTTTGAAGGACTTAACCGGGATCAGATTCATAGGCTACCGCCCGGTACTACGGAGTTTGCGATTCAGCACGAGAAGGAATTAGCTGTCGTTGTTGAGAACCTCAGGAAGGCCCAACACAGAATGATAGAACAGGCTAACAGGCACCGTCGCTCGTCGCAGTTTCAAGTTGGCGACCTAGTCCGGGTCAAGTCCAAAGAGTTTGCTCCTGAGGAAAACATTTCGCAAAAGTTACTGCTAGCATACAGGGGACCATGGCCATTTCTAGAGGTGAAGGGCGGAGAGGATGGACCGTCCTATACAATAGAGATTCCAACACACCTCCACA